GGGAATGGGGATTCCAGCACTTCCAGGGCCTGACAGCCCTTTCCATGCGGGAATTGTTCCCAAAATCCCACCTGAGCCTCCCCTGGAGCAGCCGGAGGCCGTTCCCTCTCCTCCCTTGGAGCAGATCCTTCCCTCCTGGCTTGACCAACCTCTGCTCTCCTGGGATGGAATAAAAGGATCTCCCAAGGGTGATCCAACTTTTCCGTGGATCAGACGCGACTACGGAGCCACCTCTGTGCTCTGGGGCTTGGAATGACCCTGTGGAAACCCCTGGAATGGGCGGTGCCAGCAGCCCGAGGCGGGAGGACGTGGTTCCATCGGGATTATCTGAGGAATTCCGGGATTGAACTGCTGTTTTCCAGCCGGTTTTCCAATGCTTCCCTGTGTTTCCCATCCTGCAGGGCGGGAGATATTCCATCAAGAACCGGAAGATGCTGGGGCCGGACGGGATCGTGTGGTATTCCTGGAAGGACACGGACTATTATTCCCTACGGAAGGTGGTGATGATGATCCGGCCCCGCACGTTCCGGCCCCGCCTCTCCCCGTGACGGATCCCGCGGAACGCCGGGAACGGGGAGGGCCGGGAACACTCTGGCGAAAAGAACTGTTGGCTTCGGGAGGGAATCCATCCAAGGGGGATCCAACAGGGAATCGCTCCGGGTTGGGGGGCGGGAGCTCTCCTGGGAATGCCGAGGGGATTCCTGGGAAGGGCTTTGGGCGTTCCCGGGAGTAAATCCCGTTATCCCGGTGGTGGGAATCGGCTCCAAACCGACACTGGAGCTCCGGCGACGTTCCAGGAGGAAGCAGAGGACCGGGAATCCCGGAAGAGTTTTCCATGTGGAATGCCATGGACCAGCTGTTATCCCGTGGGATGAGAATCCCTCCACTCCAGGCAGAGCTTTGGAAGACCCGGAAGACCCGGGAAGACCCGGAAGATCCTGAAGATCCACAACCACTTGGATGTGGCCCCAAGGAAAGCCAGGAGAGCATTCCCAGGCCTGGAATCACGGGAATTTTGGGAAGGCAGGGATCGTGTTCCAGGCACGGACATCGACCGGCCGCGATAACGTTCCAAAGGCAAATATTTTAAAATAAAAAAAAACATGGGAATTTTTCCACTTTCCATTGTTTTCCATTCCGTTCCCGCCTTTCCATCCTTTTTCCCTGGCGAAGAATTCCAGAGGGATTTTCTGCCCACCCAAAAATTGATCAGCGGGAAGGCTCAGACCGGATTTATCCCTCTTTTATTTTTCCGCTCGTTCCTTATTCCCGATAAACCTGATCTGCTGTTCGGGGTTAATTTTCCACCTGTAATTCCAGCGGAAGACCCTCCTTTTTCCCCGGATTTTGCCTTCTCCCGGGAATCCAGAGCTGGAGGACATTAAACATCTGATCAAGTCATTAATTAAATTCCCTTTTTCCCGTCCCACGAGCCCGGGAACGTTCGGAGAAGGGAAAGGTGGATTTTCCCGTTTTTCCCAAGCGTTTCCCTCCTGGCTCCGGTGGTTTCTTTCGGGCTATTCCAGACCGTGTTTCCCCTGGAATTTAGGGGCAATCCATGGAAAAATCACCTTCCAAACATCCTGGAGATAATAACCCGGCGTTGTTGTCTTTTCCTTCACCTGGGAAGGATTCCAAGAGTTGGGATCATTCCCAAGACTCCTCTGGATGTGCCTTGGGCCTGACATTCCCACTTGGGACCAGAATTCCACGGCGTCTCCTGGTTAATCAACACCCCGTTAAGGCCCCAATTAATCACTTGATTAATTAAGGATCCCGTTGTTCCCAATCCATGGTCGGGTTTTGTGGGATTATTAAACCCGAGGATAAAGTTGCCGCTCCCAAACCTTGGGAATTGCACCTTGGAATTCATGTTTCCACCCTTCCTTTCCCGCAGTTCTTCACTCCAGGGGTGATTCCCGCCCACCCTCCTGCTCTAAGGAGTTTGGGATGGAGAAGGGAAGGATCCCGGGAGAGCTTGGAGCACATTCCAGAGCCTGAAGGGGCTCCAGGGGAGCTGGAGAGGG